TGCAAAAAAAAAAAAAAAAAAAAGATCTATATTTTGATGAAAATCGATACAATAGAAGGTCAAACATTATAAGGAAAACTAATAAAATAGCATCCTGCTGTGCTTACTTGTTGTGTGCTTTAGTTGCCACCACAGCTTTGGCAATAAGCTGCTGCAGATCTGTAGGCAGAAGCGTCAGATCTCCCAGCACACGAATACATACACCATGCTTCTCAAGATTCTCCCTAGAAATCAGGACAAATTCACATGTAGATTGTATAGATTTCAATTCAGCCAACAGACAGACGAACGGATCTTGTGAAGGAGTGACTTACTGCTCTGTCAGCAGGCGGCTGAACTTCTGTCTTGCCAGCTCCATCAGACCATCCACCTCCTCTTTGGAGCGCTTGAAGTTCTCAATGCTGAATGCATATACAGTCACCTCATGAATGCCCAGGTTTAGGCACAAGCGGAGCGTCTGTGTGAGTTTAAACAATGTATATTAAGAGATTGAGCATACATATACACTGTTCAAAAGTTTGGGATCAGTAAGATTTTTGGGGGGGGAAAAAATTACTACTTTTATTCAGCAAGTATGCAATAAATTGATCAAAAGTGACAGTAAAGACATTTACGATGTTACAAAAGATTTCTATTTTTTATTTTTTTTTAATGCTGTTCTTTTGAACTTTCTATTCATCAAAGTATCCTGAAAAATCAAATGTATCACAGTTTACACAAAAATATGAAGCAGCACGACTGTTTTCATGTATCTTGAACAGCAAATCAGCATATTAGAATGATTTCTGAAGATCATGTGACACTGAAGACTGGAGTCATGATGCTGAAAATTCAGCTTTGATCACAGAAATAAATTACACTTTAACATATATTCACACATAAAACAGTTCTTTTAAAATGCAATAATTTTTCACAAACAATATTACTGTTTTTACTGTATTTTAATGCAGCCTTGGTGAGCAGAAGAGACTTCTTTCAAAAACATTAAAAGCATTTTACCGACGCCAAACATTTGAATAGTAATGTAATACAATTTAACGACCAGTGAGAAAGCACAAACTGCTGAAATAAAATTAACACTTATTTTACATAATATTTATTCACAAATCACTAAAATATTTGAAAACAGTTTATCAATTGATATATGTGACCCTGGACCACAAAACCAGTCATAAGGGTCAATTTTTTTAAATTTATACATGAATAAATAAGCTTTCCATTGATGTATGGTTTGTTAGGATAGGACAATATTTGGCCTCTATCTATCTATCTATCTATCTATCTATCTATCTATCTATCATCTATCTATATCTAACTCATCTATATTGTAGTCTAAATATATGAACACTCACAATTTTAATTACACAGATAAACAGTCATTTAACTGAAGTCTAAAATTGTACTTATGACTACACATATAACTATACATTCCATTTGTTTGCAAATAATTAAAGTACAATTTATATTCAAGCCAAGGTAATACTAATTCTAATATTTCTTATTCAATGGCTTTCTTTGAAGTCGACATTTTACAAGCACTTTCTGTCAGCCTTTTTGTTGAGGTTCATCTCACTAAATCCATGTCGTGCACTAAATAGTATTAGCCCTGCCCCTGGTAGCACACGTGACGTACATCACGAAGACTTCTATTTGACGTCTGCATTACATCTGCGAGACATATTTTTTTTAGATGAGAGTTTGCTCATCTGCAATGCATCTATAGGACGTTTCCTATCAGATGTCAAATAGACGTTTAGAAGATGTCTTTAAGATGTTTATGATTTAGAATGAATGTAAAACTGACATCTTAAAGACGTCTATCAGATGTTTGTACACAGCAGATGCTCTCCAGATGAAGCGATCTTTAACAGACTTCTTGCAGAATTACGTGTGCAAACACTCTAAACAATAGGTCTTGCAGATGTAAATGCAGACGTCTCCGTGATGTACGTGTGCTATCAGTGTAGCCTGTAATATGCAGTATGCTGGTATTCTAAATGAATGAATTGGGATTTTCAAGCACACACTAGAGGGCGAGCACAAAACAGACCAGGAACACTCAAGAATCTCAGCAGAGGCAGGAGAAGAAAAAGAAGAAGAAACGGGCTCTCGGTCTGTGGGGGGGTGACGGACGGGCTGAACGTTTTTGTTCCGCTGGTGGCTCCTGCTTTAACGGTGAGCAGGAGGCACAACGACCCGAACCAGAGCAGCGCGACCCGGAAAGAGCCTGGAGGAGAGGGTCGTTACGGATCGGAACTACGGCGCTTTTGTTTCTCTCTCAACTCCTGCGGGTTTGGCGGCTCCAGCGGCGGCGGCGGAGACGATCCCGCTCGCCCAGGGAAGGAGGCTGGAAGTCGGGGACGCTTCCAGCCTGCAGGGCCGGGCGCCGTGGCGATTGAGCATCCGGAATTTGGTGAACCCTTTGGGGCTCAGTGGATGGGATGGAGCCGGGACCATCTGGCGCTGGTGGGTTCGGATCTTTTAAGTTGTTTCGAGTCTTATGAAATGATGCAATGTTTCAGCGTGATATTATTACTACACATTGTATCATTTCATAATGATACATTGTAACATTCCGTCATGACACTTTGTGACATTCTCTAAGGATACATTGTAACATTCCACACATTGTATCATCGTTCCACAAGAAACATTGTAACAGTCCATTAGAATGTTCATTACTATGTAGGTGGTACCTGCAAGTTAGTGTAAAGGTTACAGTGTATGTTCGTTTATATGTGCTTTAGGGGAAATAATGCAGGGAATCCGGGAGATTGTCCCAGGTCAGGGGTCGTGGGAAGACGTGAGGTTGAAGCCCGCCTTCAGCAGATGCAGCAGTGGAAAGTGACCCCCAGGGGTCTTTATTGATCCTGCTAAAATGTGACTCAGTCCAACGTTACCAATTTCACTTCCATTAACATTATAAATGCACGAGCCTGTGCGGCATATGACCAGATAAATGATTTATATTAGCAGGGATAAAAGCTGCCTTGCTGCTTGTGGGTTTTGGGAATATGATTTGATTTAATATTACATAAACATTTAGTCGATAAATTATGAACTGTTTCAAAGGACATCTTTAAATGCAGATACAGAAAATTGTGAATTTGACCCACAAGTTGCAATGGATGTGTAAAGCTGTGTGCAAAATGGTTTCTGATCATGGAAAGTATGTAAAACTGCAATTAAACAATACCTGGTCATTGTTTTCGTGTTCCAGTTCGCTGTTTTTGACGTTAAAGTGTTTACTTGGAGATCAAACTTTCAGATTTAAATCTGAGCTCAACAGCATTTAC